GTTAATACACTACACAAACAAGTCCCGATAAGTACGCGGAGTACGGCCGACAAACAACCACCACCCTCATATCAGCCACAACGACAACAACGGGCGCAACGTCGGCTCGCGGACGAGAAGGGCGGTGGCAGTCGTTGACGACCCTGGGATTGGAGCCGAGGCCACCTTGGGAGGCGGTTGGATGGGTGCAGCGAACGGCCGCCTTTAAGTCCAAGTATCCATCGTTTGGCGATCGTGTCAGTGTCAGTAACGTAACAGGTGGGTACTATTTTTGCGTGGGTGCTGTTTTGTGGTGGTGCCCGTCGTGACAAAGAGAGAGACCGGTCTATTCTTTGGTATTTTTCTGTTAGGTTTCATCTGCGAGTCGTCCGATCTATCCTGAGATGGCGATGGGTGCTAATCAGGTTCGAGTGGAGGCCACTCATCGTTGGAACGAAACGTGAGTGTTTGTTACTACAAGTAGTTTTCTCGAAAGTCTGTTTTTTCTCCTGTCTGCTGTATCCTGTTTGGCGGTGGCCCATGGGAGCCGAAGAATGCACTTAATGACGGCGGAGCGTGCGAGCACTATGGAGCGTATGAGCAGCGGATGAGCTTGCGCGTGGAGGGCGCGGACAGAGACATAGAACCAACGCACCCGACGTGTCTACGCTGCCCGGCGAGGAACGGGGGTGCGGGAGAAGTCCACCCGATTGCGACCCGACTTCATCCACAATATGACCCTAGCGTCTCGCTCAGCCGAAAGTGACGAAGAGCCCTCACGGCCGTTGTATCACGATGAATTCAAACGCTCACGTGCTATACCTGGTCCATTCCATTGTGACTACCAAGTGTAAATACATAGCTGAGCCCTGAAACGGTAGCGTGTGAGATCGGAATAAAAATCGAAGGAAGGAGTCGTCGGAATCGTAGGCAGGGAGCTAAATCGTGATATCGTAGGGTGTTGGAGGTTGTGCGCACCATCCGTGTAAGCTCACAACAACCTAGGGAAGCCACGTGACACCTTAAGGAGTGCTAGAGTGCTTGTGGACACCCTGGAATTGCATCCTGTCGTTGATAGCCGGTTCAAGCCTCCTAACCAATTTTTCCTGAAGCTGATGCGTCCTGCAACTGAGTATTTGCCGTAGGAAGGGCCGGAATTTACAGCCGGGTGCGGTATCGGATGGACGCATGAGTTGTGCGTGCACATAGAATAGTCTGCGCAGGGGAACGCCAGGACAATGCGAGCGGCCGCTCGGCACATTCGCTGAACTTGGCGATAGCGTGGGAGGTGCGGGGGGGCGTTTCCTCCTCCGCTCCTTGGAAAAGCTTAATACGATTTCCAACTACCGTACCTCCTCGTCGCAGATGCCACCCCCAACTCCCTTGAACCAGTATTCGCCCACGCTTCATCGCCTCGCTTTGGATGGAGATCGGCTCTCAGCCATTTATCACGGCCTACCTCTAAGGTACAGCTCTGCCTTCGAACCACAATCGCGGCGGTCTGGTCGACATCGCTACGCCCGCCTCCTCGTCGTCCCCGCGAAGGTCAAAGGAGAAGGAGCGGTTGTCATGCTCGCCTTCCCTTCTTTTCCTTCGGTAATTCTGTGTTGTTTCTGCGCCTACACAACGCCTGTCTGCAACGAAACTCTCACCAGGCTTGCCATGTCCACAGCTGTTGATTGGGGTCAAGCATGTCCTCGACAGCTTCGGAAGCCTTATTGAAAATATCCGGAAAAACGAATCTCAAGTCGTTGACGGGTGGCGCTTGCCGCCCTCCTGGCTCCTTGAATTTCGGAGAAATTCGTCTCACTTTCCCCAAGAATCGAATCTCGCTTTCCTCCTTATTCAAGCTGTAAGCTTCAGTGGCTCCGGCCTATATTCATTGACCCTCTTGTTCCAATTTTCCCACCTTTGTCCGACCGTGTCTCAAAGGCTGATCTCGACCTATTGCTCCAGAAGCGTGCAACCATGCACGTGTTTGAACGGTCGTCTTCTATCTTCCTGTCTTCATCGTTTGTTTTTGCATCTCGATCATTGACGTCGGACAAAATCGAATCTCAAAGCCCGGTTGGCAGTATTTCAAGGAAATGTTCATTTCAGGTGGTGGTGTAGAGTATTGAAAGTGGGTTTGGGCCGAGTGAGTTTCCAACGCGATATTGTGCCAATAGCCATGGATATGACGAAAGTACAAACGGTGAGTCGATGGGTAAGCACGTTGCATGTTGTGCCGGAAGTGTGCGATCATGCGCGCTTGTTTCGGTCCTTTTGCATGGTTCGCCTGCTACCTTGCTGTCTTTATCGCGCTTCACGAACAGCGCCGGAAACAATCGAATCTCGCGGTCAGCGTGGCAGCAACCACGGCATAATTGTCATTTCAAAGGTGTTTTAGCAATGAAAATACTGTGAGAGAGAGAGAAAAGGTGCCCGAGTGAGTTCCCGACGCGACCTACCATAGAACCAATAGTCATCTTAACACGAAACTGTGCGCCGATACGCCGCCATTGTCCATACGCCAGAAGTGTGCGACCGTGTGGGACCGCGTGCGACCATGCGCGCTGTTTCTCTCCTCTTGGTGCTCCGCCGTCTTCCTGTCTCTCTGTCGCTCGTTTTTTGTGATCTTGAAATTTTCGAATCTCATCTAGGGATTCGGATGAGTGAATTCATACTTTGTGAAAGTCTATGTCAACAATACTGTGACACATCAAATGTACATCAGAAACCGAACGGCCTGAACATCAGCATAGAAGATGTTTCTCTTTGTTGAATAGATTTTGCACCTTTTGGGGTACTTAATTGTTTTTCACAGCAAATACAACGTTTTGCGATATACTTTCTTTGGGTTCTTGGCCTGTGGCCACGGTTAGGTGTGTGACTGACTGACTGAGCAGCTGCTGGGACGGCTGTTTACAATACTTTCACAACAGCAAACGGTGACCGGTGAATTTCTCTAGCACCACACTACCCCTTTTCTTCCCCAGATAGATAAGCGTCCGCGGTTGATTAGCAATGGGAATGAATATAGTGTTGCACGGTGACCAACAGGGGTCGGGCGGCGCGCAGGCTATAGCTATCTATATTCTATGCATTGCTTCGACGAAACCATTGCAGACCAGAATACAGACAAAATGATAGCGAATGGTACCGCACAGGTAACTCTGACCAGTACACGTTGGACACGAAAGGCCGTCCTATGCAGATTCTTCGAAGTCAGCATCCATGTGGTTGTCCTCTCGGAGCGTTCGTTCGTCGTCGCCATCACGAAAAAATATCGAAAGAAGCAGCAGACCTCGTGCAACGGCAACGCCCACATTTTTTTCGCCGGTACTTGGAGTACGCTATTCCCTCAAAAACTAAACCCCGTCGTCGACGGTCTCACGATACGATTCACCAAGGTTTAGGTCGTCCGTGTGCTTACGGATGCGAACTATGTGTACTTACAAACAATTACGGTGGCTGAGGGGACGGCGCGAAGACACATACCGTAGGTGATCACACCCCGTACATAGAGTAGAGGCGGGTATTACAGGCCACTCTGATATAAAAAGCCATTTTTTTTCAAACATGGGTACAGTATCTCCCCACCGAATTCACGGAGCCCCTTGATCATTTTTTTAAATTCAGTGCTGCGCACAGGATATATGGAGGCGTTTGTCGAAACACCTTTGGGGCTGCTGTGCGTTCCGGCAACGACACACCACACCAAACTAAGACCCTGACACCGTAGAGCTAGTTATTTACTGTCTTCTGACCCTTGTTTGGTCGAGTTTCATGGCCTGTGGCCCGCGAACGTGACAAAAGAAGAATTCGAAGTTCGGAGGCAAATACCTGGCACTTTTGGATGCGGCCCAACCTACCCCTGGCCGAGGGCGTGTTTCGTCCGACGACGAGAACGCAGCGCAGACCGCACAGATCCACATGAAACTTGGCACACAAACTGGAAATGCCCGTATCAGACCGTACGTCAAGTGGTGTGTTGGAATTCCACCAAACGCAGTCGGGGGCGGCGTGTTTCGTGTAAAAATGACGCTCGCGCGCAAGCATCATGCTAAGTTTCCTCAGGATGGTTGCGGAAGGGCGCACCCGTGTGTGAAAGAAGATGCTGTGGGCTTTGCCCAGTACTTTGAATTTTGCTGCAACACGCCGTATACGCCGAGAACGCCTAATCGGCGCGAACCCAGTTTTGAACTTTGGGTTTCGCCGACGCACACCGGCTCTCTCTCCCCTCCAGCACATGAAGAAACAAAAAAAAGAAAAAAGCGCTTCACCCAGCGAAGCCAGTGTCGCAGCGGTAGCTGGGAGTCGGCGCAATCGGAACCTAGGCCCTGCGAAGGTTGAACTGCACCCGCGGGCGCGATTGATATGCGTATACTTGGGCAGTCTGCACCAGTTTAGTCAATCAGCAGCGCACATTAAAATTAGATACATTTACACACGGAGTAAACTACTACATACAGCACCACGTCAACCAGCTAAGGTACCTCGCGTGCCAGTTTTACTCCTTCGGGCCAACAATACTTTCTCAATTACTCGAACAACACGCTAAGGCACAAGACACGACGAAACTCTAAAAGACACTACTTGCAAGACTGCCAAAATGTCGCTAAGATGAATAAATCTTAAAATTTTAATGATGATGCTAATGAGTATATTCTAGGGACGGCACGCAAGTAAGTCCCAAATGGTTCGAAGAACACATAACAAATCGTAAATCACAAGAAGAGACATGTCCAGTCAAAGTTATGGGAAAGTGCCAACCACAACAAAGAAAAAAATACAAGACTATAAATCAAGTTCAACAGTACATGTTCACAACAACTTCTCCTCCTCCCCAACGGCCAGTCCCTGCTGTCGTCCCAGCACCACACTCCCCCCCCCGACCGTTCCCTTGACTTATCAGCCAGCATCCCATTCCGCCTCTCGCAGCGGAACGTTCAAGTGTATGGATTAGCCTGGG